TTTTAATTTCGTTGAACGACGTCCTCTTTAATTACGAGTAATATGTACATTCGAAATATATGTCATGTTGTGTGGACTGTTACTCAAAAATAAACTCTAGGTACCTACGTGACTAAATCGCCTATACGGCCAAATCACATACTATAGTACTATACCACGATCTATATGACTATATTTTCATTATAACCTGTAAGTACCTTTAAACAATAGCATACACGTTCTATTATAATACACCATATCAATAAATTACCAACTGATAATAATATAGTAGTGACCCTGGTCGCGCTTGTTATGGTTCCATTAAAAATAGTGTGGAGTGAACGGATTAATTTTATGTTGGTGGTTTATCCCAACTGTGCCCAATTTGCATTCGATTTAACTATACCTCATTTTACTATACCTTTTCGCTCAAGTATATTGTACATAATATTTATGTTATAATTTATTTCGTATTGATTGATTGTATATTATTATTTATTAATTTATTATTATAATAATTATCCTCATAATTTCTGGTGTTTTAATAATGCATGTATTTTCTATAGTTATCTATGTGTGTAACGAGTAGTTCGACAATATTTTACGCTTACAATATTGGTGATCAATATTATTAATATCTTTTCATCCGAATCTACTGTTACGGGGGACAACGGTGTGCTGGTACACTTGCACACACACACAAGCGCGCGCGTTTGTAGGTAGGACTGCAGGCTTTGTATTAATCCTTACGACCTTTTCCCATCCTGTAGCGGGATATTGCAGCCTACTGACCATTATATTCGTATATTATTATATATAATTTAACCACCACGATAATGTCTTCCCAAGWGTATTTTTATATATATATATACAGGAAGATTTACCAACCATGTTCACCATCTCCCCTTTTAACCTTTAATAATGCTTTATTCAAATTTTGATTATTTAAATGTGTAAGTATAATATTTTTAAATACTAAGATTTTTATAGGTACCATTTTAGAAGTGTAATTTAACGATACAAGCTTTTTTTAAATGCTAGCAGCCTCTTTCATTTTAAAATATTCTTAAGTAAATGATTTTAAAGTGTATTTTAACTTTAAGTACGAAGTACATAGTCTATGTACTATAAGCTTTGAAAATTATAGCAAAAATCAATATAAATCGTCTAAGTAAAACTAATATTAGTATACAATGGTACTTGTTAGATAAATATTACATATACAATTATTGAATATAGAACCATTATTAATAAAGATTATTATTATCCTTAGTGGCCATTTAAAGTTTAACAACTTAGATTTTAAATTTATATTTATATTTGTCATAATTCATAATAATTATTTGATTAGGTAACAATTAAAATCAAAAAGAGATAGATTTGTTTAAAAAAGAACTAAATCACTTGTCACCACAGAGTAATACTTGGTCAGGTGTAAAAAAATTTAAGCATTTATAGATAATAATTATGTTCTTTAAAAGTACTTAAAAATTATTATTTGAATAAACGCGTTRTTCAAGAATGAAAGGGAGCGAGAGTATTCATAATAAATCATCCTGTATACGTACATAAATCATAATATGAAGTGTTAATGTGTCCTGAAATCGTAAATTACCCTTTGCGAGAGTAATCAGTACCTATAGTGACGACTGACGAGATATTATAATGATAATAATATGTTTAAATAAGCACGCAAGTCGCACTCGAGACGGTTTTTATTATAACCGGCTTGTAATGCCGCACGCTATATTGTATACCACCCCTATACAGCTGGTGGTATAAATGTATAATAATAATTCTTATACTGGAAAAAAGTGCACGTCGGTAAATCGCGTTGCACGAGTATACACACTTTATATTAAGTACTATAGATATTATATGCTGCAGGGTGATGAACATTTATATTATTATTATACCTATTGGCTATTATAATCTTTCATAGATAATAATAATAATAACAAAACGTTGTCAACAATAATGAATTAATCCCTTTATGGCTATACATATTATAATCTCATAAAACAGAAATGCTACTTAATACCACGTAAAAAATGAATCGTATAGTAATCATGATATAAAATAACAAGCGTAATCGGCTCACCGTAGACGTCTGGTCGCATCCCAACATTTGGTAGTAGTCGTCTTGGGCCGACGACTTGTCGTACGACAGTATTTCCGAAACGCTGGTCATCGCGGGGGGACGGACAATCGACGTGTGTGTTAGAATAATAATATGTTAATAATTATGATTATTTTAGATAAGCGTGTTGCGGCGAGTCCGCGCTCGTTGATCGTTACGATGGTATTAACCGTCGAAGGACGGTTGAGAATAAAACTAGGCAAAACAAATCCGTAGTCGTCGTCGCAGCCGCTACCGGTGGAGCGCGGCCGCTGTTGCTGTCGCCGTCGTTATCGTAGCTACTGTGCGCTGCACGCCCTACCGCAATCGTGCGCGTGACTCACTGACCCAGATCGCGCGTGTACCTACCAAACAGACACATACACACGAGTTTATACAAAAACTACACACACACACACACACACAAACGTATAGGTAAAGCACTATACATATACACTCAGCTTACAACGACGGCTGCTTTGAAGCTCATGATTGGGGGTGGTGGGATGGAGATCTCTCACTCACTCGTTATTCACTCTTTGACGACAAATCCGCCACTGTCGATTTTTTTTTCACCTTCATATATGTATTTCTACACAACTGTAAGTGTGTGTGTGTGTGTGCGTGCGTGTGTGTGTGACGTGTGTGTACGCAGGTGTGTCAGATGATGAATTTATCCTTTTTTAACCGTGCAATATCACGTAGGTATATATAATACCAGCTTTCTATCCTTTCGATATAATATTTTATTTTTCGTTATTGTTATTACAACGCTCGGGTGTTATATAGCTGTGATATATATATATATATATACATATACATAAGTGTATTATTGTTATTTAAACGCGCCCGGACGTGTCTATGTACATACACAGTACACCTATACATGTGTATAGGTAAATAAAATCTACGAGGAAAATTAAAAATAAAATCTCTCCAGTACGTATACATTGTGGCCGGGCTGCTGAGGCCGTAATCGTTAAACTGCAGCAACACGCTCCCCGGCAGAATCAACCCCGCTCACCCGCTAAGCCTATATTAGTATTTTCTCATTCACCTCTCATCCGCAATCGTCAGCTCCCACTCGCCTTCTCTCTCGGCTACTCTACYGCAGCGTGCGTTTACGTCATCGCTTTGTCCTCTACCGTTTCCCTTGTCGCACCGCACCCGGTATATGTTCTCCAACCCCACTGCTATAGTGAGTTATTGACGGATCTGTTTTCTACGAGCTACATTACAACCTTTGCCGAACTTACGCTCGAAATGCCTACACGATTTATTATTTTACTACCTATATATTATTATATTATCACGCGTAAAGGTATTATTTGTATATTATTGCTTGTACTGTATAGGAAATATATAGCGCAGCATCATGATGTCTGTATGGTCATGGGGTGATGTTGGCGATGAAAGGGCGGGTAGACATTGCAACAGTCTCCGGYGTGCAAAGCAAATAGTGCAATATTTTATTTAATGAAGGCCATGGGGGGAGGGGAGGGGAGAAAGGTAAACGGAATGAATAAAATACACACCATAATAATTATTAATTATACTGCACAGCAGGCGTGTTTCCCGACGAGCCGTTTGATTATCGAGATCACTGTTATTGTACCTACATAATACGTAGTAATATCATACATTGTAACAATAATAATTGCATTATACACATATGGTGGGTAATATTATGCAAATTACGAAAAATTATCTATAATATAAATTAGGTTAGTGGACTCTCGGGATATTATCGAGTTTTGTGTTGTATAAGTCTAAAAGATAGCTATTAAGTTTAAAAGAATGTTTGTTTAATGTACTGCAGGCTAAGTGTGGCTTTACAGACGCAGAAAAAGAATATGCTATAATAGTAGTTGGTAGAACTATGCATAGCTMTAYGTGGGCATAAAAAAACGTTTGAAAGTAAAAGTTTAGTAAATGCTATAGAAGCACTCAAAACTAGAAAGGAAACTGGAGATAAAGAAGTAATATCGGAAATCATAACAATTTTGAAAACACTGTCAGAAATTCAGAAAGTGAAAAGTATAAGCCGCCATGTGGCTTAAATGGATACATTACACGGGAAAAAAACAGTGACAGGATGTGGCTATAGGTCTCTAGGAGGTACCACAAAATAAGAGAAAATGGGATATTATTTTATCCCTATTATTAATAAATGCATAATAATCGATGTTTAAAATTAGTCAAAATTTAAAACATTGTAAATGATTTAAATCGTACTTTGTGATATGATAGGTAAGTGATTTTTATGGGGCCGTCACGTTATTGATGGAACAAATATATAAAGGTTAGTACGGTTTACTACCTAGTATGTTGAAAGATGCATGATTTGAGTTAAAAACTAAACAATAGCTGTTCAATTATTATTATGAAATTATGATAATGATTAATCTAACCTCACCTATATTGCAATTTTTTATTAGTACACACAATTACGCGTATTGATATGTAAATTGGTTTGTTTGGAAACTGTAGTTAGAAGAGTTCATAGTAGACTAGTAGAATTACTAGAACTACTATGAGACAACTTATATCCGTCTAGAAATAGACTATCTAAGTAAATATAGTTGTTTTTTTTTTTAAATAATATATTGTACAACATGATAATATGACACAAATTATGTACTATGATAATATATATATATTATTATTTGATTATCTACATAATACTATTATAATATAGCCTATTTTATTTAGTTTAAAATTAATTTTTTTATACATTTATTCTTCATTACTTCATTTTTAGATTCTGAACGAAGCGATGAATGTATTGATTTTACAATGATGTGTGTTTTTTTTGTGTCTGTGTACCTACGTCCTACAGCATAACTAGTCGAAATAATGTTTCAATTTCAAACTTTGTGGGTGGTTTCTGATGTAAAAGTGAATATCCTTGGTGCATTATAGAGGTCAAAAGTAAACATTTTCCAACAGTTTTCAAAAAAATCGAGAAAAACAAAAAAAAGTGACAGAAAAACGGGAATTTTTACGCAAAACCAGTTTTCGACCAAATCGATTTTTTTATATGGTTGTAATTCAAAAACTAATCACTGTAAATACTTGAAATTTTCACCAAATGTTTATGTTAGTGTTATCTATATACAGTTTAATTTTCAAAAATTTTTGAATTTTTTGAGTTATTTATAGACCACTGAAATTTTCGATTTTTTTGAGAATTTTTTTAATTTCACTTGAATCATTAGAAAATAATTGAACACTCACACAAGTATCAGAAAAATTATTGTCTTATCAGGGGTTTTATGATATGGAAAAAAACGAGCTCTATATATATATTAATTAAAAAAAAATTTAAAAATAATGATTTACACTTAGTAGTCGTAATATGAAACAATACTGGTTTCCAAATGGTCCTCTTTGGTTCTTTTACAGTTGTACAAAACAAATGTGCAAATGCTAGAATTCCACTGCCATAACCATAACTATTGGTGTGCCTATTACACTATTACACTATTTAGGTACACTTTTACACATGACTGCAAGGACCATCCATCGGTCTCACAATAAAACCGTCATATGCGGGTATAGACAATACTGGTATAGAATGGTAGCCACTATATGCTATTAATAATTGTTAAGCTTGAATAAACTATTGTTTGTCAGTATTTTCAACTGACATTGAATATTTAGTTGGTGAAGGATATGATGGCGCCGAGGCCTTGAGTGAAAATTTTAACGGTGTACGGAAAAAAATAACTTGGTTGTATACAACAAAATAGTTTTGTAAATTGTTTTATGGTTGTTACAACCAAAATATACTTATCACAACCATAAATATTGTTATTTAMAAAAAAGTTTACTGGAGTTTTCACAGTAATAATTTTGTTAACAACTGTTTTGTAAATTTTACATGATTCATATTTATAATAGCAAATTTACTGTAATAGATATTAAGTTTAAAAAATTACCAAAAATGTATAGTAATCATGAAAAAAYATCTGTGTATTTTCTACCAAACTATCTTTAAATGTAACGTAAACATGTTGATATTATTATTAGACTATTAATAGCATTGAATACGATTTATATATTTTACATTAACTAGATGCTTTTCTAATATTACCAAATACATGTATTTGAAACAATGATTCGGGAAACTCACCCAGCTGGATTCAACGTGCATTCGAGCACACATGTTATGGCACATGTAATCTAAAACGTAGAATTTCTATAAAGAGATTGAAAAAGATTTTGAAAATTATTTCACGTATTTTAGGAAATGCTAATATCAATGTTTAGTAGACATTTCAAGTTCTTTATGGATTTAGGTTGTTGTTATATGAATAAGAAAAAAACAAACGAAATCCGTCTTGTCGAAAATGGGTGTTGATTAATGTTTTTTTAGTTATTCCCAATGATTTAGAAGAAAAGAAATATCTCACATAATTTATGCCAATTACCAGGCAGAAACTGATGGTAACGAAATAAAAAATCTTGATGGTAGCTGGAGGTTGAGCGTAATCAAGAGACTTCATGTACCGTCTGTAGCCGTGTGGTATATAGTATGTAAAAACTAACAAGTTATTTAAACCCAAAAATGGTAACCTTATGGGTTCACCAGAGAACGCGTACGGAAGAAAAACCGTATTAGTGCGACACATGTGTCTCAAGTCGATCGTAACCTTCAGTAATCGCAAGGTACATATAGTTTGAGTATGGTTATTGGCTTACTATCTGTGGTTAAACCTTTGTGAACCATGACACCTGCAGCAGGTGCTGTCGTTTTAAGAACATCGCGTTTATTTTCTATATTTATTCTGCTGTGATATAATTAATAGCCGTAGTTTATCAATAATCATTAATAAATCGTTTTTAACCGCCGTTTACCACCAAAACACTTTGTCATCATTCATTAGGTATTTGTTATTAAAAATTACAGATTTCTACGCGTTGACCATTAYGAAGCATAATAATATCCAGGCACCCAGCACGCGGGAGAAAAAACACGRAGCATTTTTTAAAAATTTAAATGATCATTATAGGCGCGTGATATTAACGCAGTTTCTTTTGGATTTTTACGTTCAGTAGGTAAATGTCGGTCATTACTCTAACAAGTCAATTATTATCCGTTTTGTTATTCTCTGCATTTGAAAACTAATTAGGTAGTTTAACCTGGTTGAATTAAAAAAGTCGGTAAGTAGGTACATAGCTGTGGTATTACCTATAATATCGTAAGTTTAAAATTATCGTCAAAGCGATAGATTAGGTACYTACTATGAGATATTTATACTGCACAATTAACAACTGATTTCGACCATTAACGTTAATAATTTGTTTCAACCACAATTATACCTACGGCATAATAT